GTGGACAGAACCGGTAGAAACCCACCCTTGCTTTCCAAACTCTTCCTCTGAAATGTGACTTTCCAAAGCTTGCTGCGTTTCCCACACAGCAGGTCAAAACGTTGAGTGCTTATAACAAGATTGCTTCTTGGAAATCTTGACAAAAAGAACCAAGCCTCCCAGCCTTTCATTTCTTACCCAGCCAGATTCACCCATCCATACTTTAATTCTGGTAACTTTTTAGAACGTTGCTGGGGAAAAAAATCAGCCTTTGGCGTTTTTTAGTTTAAAAAAAAAAAAAAAAAGGCAGCACAAAACTTGTAGCAAATTGAGGATTGGCAGACTGCAGCAGAAAAACAAGCTCTACCTCATAATAAGTGACTAGGCTTCATTTACTGAAGTGGAAAAACATACCACCTTTTACCTCCATTTCCTAGAGCAAAATGTAGGAGACCAGAATTTTCACAGGGCCAAACCTTCCCCTGTGGCTCACAGTTAGGATTTGGAGCAATTGACTACCACTACTTTATTAAGGGGTAAAAATGCTTTTTTTTTCTTGGTCTTATATAGCCCCTCAACCTTCGCTACTTGACCAACACAGAAGCATAGCTAATGTCCAACTAGTGTAACTCTGACACAGGTTTGCTAACTACACAAAACCAGCACAATTAATCCCTACTTTTGGGATTGGAGAAGCTGACTGGAACTGATCCAGTACTGCCTGGAGATAAAGAAGCTTAGGAAATCCAGTTAACTGCCTGTCTCTCCAAAGACGCAAATGGAAACAGGCCTCTTCAACCTGCTATTCTCCAGTAAGGTTGGACCACAGCACAGCTTAGTTCCCTACCACTGTACTATGATAGACTACAACTATCATAGTTCCCATGATACTACAGTGGGAATACTGAATCTGGGACATGCAGAATGTTAAAGTAGAATAATGACTGTAATTAAACATTTTTAAAAAAATATTCTCCAAAGCACCAGAGGGCAGGATAAACAATGGTTGGAAACTAATCAAAGAGAGAAGCAACCTGGAATAAAGGAGAAATGTCCTAATAGTGAAGACAATTAACCAGTGGAACAGCTTGCCTCCCGAAATTATGGGAGCTCCATCACTGGATGTTTTTAAGAAGAGTCTAGACAGTTACTTATCTGGAATGGTATAGGTCAGTGATGGTGAACCTTTTTGTTGTGATGTGCCAAAAGCGTGTGCGTGCTGGCACCCAGAATGCAATGCGCCCCGCCCCCCTGCACATGTAAGCGCAACACCCCCGCCTCGCTCCCTTACCAGCACTGTGCATGTGCGTGCCTCCCAGCTGATTTTCGGGCTGAGGCCATTTTCACTCTCCTGGAGGTTCAAGGAAAGCCTCTGCAGCCTTGAGAGGCTGAAAACAGGTTTTCCAGAAATACAGGAAGTGCTCATTTTCAGCCTACGGAGGGCCTCTGGAGCCCAGGGGAGGCTGTTTTCGGCCTCCAGAGGCTTGAGGGAAGCCTCTGCAGCCTTGGGACGCCAAAAAACGAGCCTTCTGGAAATACCGGAAGTGCCGAAATGGGCCTGTTTTCAGTCTCCCAAGGCTGCAGAGGCTTCCCTTGAGCCTCCGGGAGGCCTAAAATGGCCTAAAATGAGCCAAAAATCAGTTGGGAGGCGCGTGCATGTGTGGGAACTATGATTCTTTGTTCTTTGTGTACGTGCTAGGACAACGGAACCTTCTGGTAGTTGGCTGGAACACGGAGCAAGGACAAATTGTTGCCATTTCTTAAACAGAACTGTAGCAAACTTAAACTCTGCAGCCTTGTATGCTTTATGCGAATGATCAGTGCATGTTGTGTGATGTAATGTGTTTGTGATAGGACATTAACAAAATTGCTACGTTAACAAGATTGCTTCTAATAAAAGAGGGTTTCGGAGTTCTCTCTGGGCTCTCATCCCAAGACAACTTTGCGAAGTGTCTTCTTTCCATGAGAAACCACCACATGCATGCGCAGTGCAGGTAAATTTGGCTGGGGCTCGCGTGCCCTCACAAATGGCTCTGCGTGCCACCTGTGGCACACATGCCGTTGGTTCTCCGTCATGGGTATATGTTCTCCTGCTTGAATAGGAGACTGGACTAGAAGATCTCCAAGGTACCTTCCAGCTGATTCTATTCTGATTTAATATACAAATTGAGCTGTTACTTTGAGGGAGATGAGTCATGAACGATGACACACATTTAGAATGGTCATGGAAATCTGAAGTAGCCCTATTCGTATTTTACTTTCTACGGGCTGATAGAAAAGCTTTTTTCAACTTCTTGCTGGGAAGCTAAAGGTAACCCTCCATTTTTCTCTAGAGTGGGTAACAAGAGTAGAGCTAAGGAACAGAACAAAGTACTTCATAAGGATGACTTAGTTACAGGGAAAAAACATGTCAACACTGCAGCTTGTTTTCTTCTTGGTTTTAACTACTTTGGAAAATTCTGCAAACGTCACTCCCCCACTCCCCAAATATTCTGCAGATGGAGAAATTTTATGGAAATGAAAAAATTTTCCAAGGACCAAATTAAAAAAATGCTTAGCTCACCCCCTTCCCAACCTTCTCTTTTAAAACAAGTTAGTGATTGTTGTTCTGACTCAGGCTTTGTAAACCGTAATTATTCACAAACTTGTTTTAAAAGCAAAACCTATTTTATTGCAAGGCTGGGAATTGTTTTCATTCCCAGCCTGAATTAAGCTCAAACAGTCCCCCAAGATAAGCACAAACCTTTCAGTTCTGTGAAGTGCTGCCAACAACAGAAATATCAAATTAACTAGAAAAGAAACCAACCAAAGTACAAGAAAAACCAACCGAAGTATAAAGAGCTTCAAGGATGACTCAGAACCGATCAAACTACTTTGCTTCCTGCAAAGGTTTCATCATCTTGGCCTGATTTTTATCCCTTATAGGAGGGGCAATCACCTCCCAGCTCCTGAGTCGCCCCTTTTGTTTCAGCTGCTCTTGCCTTCTAGCAGCTCTGTGCACACACACACTGGGAACAGGTTCCCCTGGGTCCTCTGCCTCCCTGCTGCCAGACTCTAAAGGCACCGAAGGCAGCACCCCACTCCCAGATGGTCCTGGCTCCGTCTCTGCATCTGACATGGGACCCTCATCCGAGTCCTCTCCAGATTCCCTGACTGGTCCCCATTCTTCCCCACTGTCCCATTCCACTGCCGTCTGCACCTGCTGCCGGCGAACCACAATTGTTTAAGAATCTTTGGCACATCCACCTGTTGATTGTCCTAATGGGGCATTACAGTTGTAGCATTTTTCCTTGGACACTGAAAATATTGTAATAGCTGGTCTAAGAACTACAAGTAGAGGACAGTAATTTTAAATCTTGCTAAAGTATGTTGGTCATTTGGTACGTCTATGTGTTCTATGTATTGTGTTAATACTTGGATATTTTCACAAGCCTGGTGAGTTGTTTGAAGTGGGTACGATCTTTATAAGGTCAGTCATGGATGCCTGAGTTAAATTAATAGATTAACAGTGTTGGAAGGGACTTGTAGGTCTTCTAGTCTAATCCCTCGCTCAAGCAGGAGACCCTACATCATTTCTGATGGTAGTCATCTCAAAAGTTTCCAGTGATGAAGCTCCCATAACTTCTGAAGGCAAGCTGTTCCACTGGTTGGTTGATCTGTCAGCAAACTTCTCCTTATTTCTAGACTGAATCTCTCGTTCTTTTTTGCCCTTTTTCTAGAGTCTCAACATCTTTTTTATAGTGTGGTGACCAAAAAAGGATGCAGTATTCTCGATGTGGTCTTACTAAGGCTTTATACATTGTTTCCAAACTGAATCTACAAGTAGCAGCCCGATTTGATAAAAATCAAAATTACTAAAGATGACTGCCTACAGTCCATATACCTCAGTTCTAGTTTAAGTGAAGTAGGTAGTTTGTTATACACCCCAAATATAATACCACAGATCACATAGCTCAGGGTGGTAACAATCTGGACTTGTGTTTTAACAAGGCACATGTAAGCTTGCAAAAGGTTCAGGATGAAACCTGCTTGCTCCATTTCTAGTCCTTTTCAGATGAACAGCTCCAGTTTGTTCCACAAATGTTTCTGAACTATCTTTGAAGTCCATTCCCTATAATCTTTTACAACCTATCAAGCCTGGATGGCAGCAGCTAAATACTGAAGTGACAGGTTTGTTACAGGGTTGTTGCTTAAATTGTTCCAACAATAATTCAAAAGCTACTGAAACAAAAATATTGTGATTATTAAATGGTACCAGTAAGTGAGAATAGTATATCAAACATAGTAAGCTTTAGGAAGGCATACTGAAATTTAGCATAGATTAGTTATCTACTGGACCAGAGTATTATATTTGAAAAAGAACAGAAACGCATCCAGCACATTGCCCATCACTTAAACACTCTATTTTCTCAGAGATATTCAATATAAATAATTAGCTTAAGATGTTTCACCAGATAGGTATGTATTATGGTTAATTAAAATTAGACAGTGAAGAAAACAGCAAAGCATTAAAATTGTACGTTTTTAAAAAAAATAATGTAGTCACTTCCGGTGGAAGTGGGCAGAATACTTTTGTATTCTCTTCGTATGTTGTATGATAAATAAAAAAACCATTAAAAATAATATAACATACATGGAAATTTTTATTGAGCCATGAATATGTAAAAGGAAATTAATGTAAATGTTTAGTGTCTCTTTGAACAGAAGACAAAATCCTAAATGTATCTTTGCAAACAAACTTTATTTTTTAATAAAGCTACATAGGCTGAGAGATATAAGATCACATATACTTTTATCAGAAAATATGAAATAACTGCATTTAACATTTTGTTGGGTATCAAAGTCAGCAGTGTTGTTAATTAATTTTATCTAAATATTTTTATTTCTTACCCTGGGAAAAATTAACACAATTTATATTATTGCTTTATGACAGTGGGCAAAAGATTTAATTTACTTTGTTCTAAAATACATATATTTTAATTTGATATAAACCTAAAAGCTTTCTCCAGAACTACCTCAACATTTCATCATATTCCTAACATGGAATGGATTTTTTGGGTACATCACATCATGTCCATAACTCTGAAATTTAAAAAAAAACAACAACCATTGGGCTTGTAACTTGGTTTATAAAACAAAGATCAACAGAAGTCAAGAAATGGTCCCAGCAAAGCTGCCCCACTCATGTAACCACTTGAAAATCAGGCTTCAGCCCATCTAGAGCCTTCACCACCTTGTCTGCTTTAGAAGTCCAAAAAGTGTCATACAAGCTGCAAAAAAGAATTTAATTCAGATTATTAATATTATAGATTTCAGATGGGAATTCAATACTAGAACTACACTAGAAATATCAGACAAGCATAAAATCACTCGAAGTTGATAATCACATCTCTATCTTTAATAATACAATAAAACACATAATATCTCATTTCTTCCTGTAAGGCTACTTCTGGTTACCCCAAAGGCAGGCATTCAACTAACACTTTTTCTAACACGGATTCAATCAACCAGAACCATGTTTCTAAAAAATATACATTTGAGGGCGAATTACCATATTTTTTTAATTTTTACTATTTTTTAGACGTGCATTAGCTTTAGAGGAGGAAAACAATAAAAAAAAAAATCTGCCTCTGGGGCCTGTTTGCTGCTGATTGCTGTGAACAAGTGGTGGTGATCCCCGCCTAGAACAGCTGATCGCCACAGCACCAACTCCCCTCCCCCCCCAATGCAATATTTGCTCTATAAGACACACAGACATTTCCACCCACATTTTTTTTGTGGGGGGGGAGTGCCTTTTATAGTTCGAAAAATACAGTACGTTGAAGGAACATCAAGAGCATTTGAAGAATTCTGAATGACTTTGAGCAAGGCTACTCAAGAAAAACATGCCCAAGTCTGTCAATCGATTAGGCACTCAATGAAATGTTTTTGAAATATTTAAAATGGTTATTGATCATCCTGGAAATAATTACAGACTGGCTGCAAAGGCATTTGGCAGAGAGCTCTATCAAAACTGTATGCGGTTTTTAATCGGAACACAATTATAGACTGCATTCTTTCCCATTTTTAAAAAATCTCTCTTAAATGACCCTTTTTTCATCATTCTTACATGCTAACCAAGAGATACTTACATTAGATATTTCAGGTTACAGTTTGGATTTTTCACTGCTTCACACAACTTCAACACACCCTCATCCCCTATTTGGCTATAGCTCACATCCAGTTCCCGTAGAGAAGGTTTCTCAACTATAAGCTTGGCAAGTGCGTCACAGCAAACCTCTGTAAGACTCGACTGCCCCAGCCTAGGAAGAAATCAAAGTAACATCAAATAATGTTTGCAAGAAAACTGGATCAATGAAAAAAAACCCACACCTTCCATTTGTATAAATACTTAGGAACTGCCCTAACTATGTAGAGCTACCTATAGCCTCTATTTGCAAACAGCAACTGTTCTAACCCTCAAAAATGTTTCATTGATTTCAGGGAACAGTAAGATTTTAGTTTTTTAGGATACTGCCAGAAGTTATATTATTAGTAACATGGTTGTTAAGTGAATTTAGCTTCCCCATTAACTTTGTCAGAAGACTGCAAAAGGGGATTGACCCCAGGAAACTGCAACCGTCATAAATATGAGCCAGTGGCCAAGTGTCTAAATTTTGATCACCTGACCACAGGGATGCTGAAATGGTCGTAAGTGTGAAAAACAGCCATGTCACTTTTTTTCAGTGCCAGTGCAACTTTGAACACTCACTAAATGAACTGTCTTAAGTGGAGGAGTACCTGTAATGTACTCTTCAATAAACCACTGGGGGGAGGGACAGAAGGCCTTGAAAAGCAGATAATATACCTAAATATTGTGGTCAATACCGTTAAATAGACTTCAGTCAGCACAAAATCAATGAAACCATTTGATTTCCCGAAAGGTTTGTTTCATGTATCGGTTTTGTTTTGGTGAAGACAACGGTGATTGGCACACCTATCTTTAGCAACAATCTCTACCCTATATTTGTCTAAACAAGGTTATAATTTTTTTTTAAAGGCATCCAGGTTGGCTAGTGTATCTAAAAAAATAGCAATTAGTATATAAAAAACAGTTGAATATGCTTATATATCAAAAAATACCTGAAATGGAATTACTAAAATACATGATCTGATATCCTGCACCTTCAATGTTAACTGTCCACTCCTCGAAATTGTGGGACTATGATACAGTGTTGAGTCATGGGGACCTGATGAAGATCAGGCATTTAAAATGATACCAAAATCTAATGTCCTGTACTCTTGTTTATCCGTTCAGATTTTGAGTATAAAAATCTTAATGCTTTAGCGTAGGCCAACTTTTCATAGGAAGAGGCCTCCTGGACTAATACACCCAAAGGCTATTCATGTTGATGTTCTTAGGTGAAGAATGTTGGGTGGATGGAAAATATTCACCGCAAACTCCAGGCAAAGGAAAAAAAGGTAGATCGGTGTTTTTCACACCTGGGCAGTTTTAAGATGTATAATTTCAACTCCTGTATAACTTCAACTCCCACAGTCCACACAACTTAGAGTTACCAAGTTTGAAAAACAGAGTTAGAAGAATCCTACATAAAGCAGTATAGAGAAAGGATAAGAGAGGTTTACTCTGTCACTCACCAGAGGGATTCGAGGTTGCAGTTTGGACTACTCACACCTTCACAGATGTCAATCACTCCTGCATCTCCAATGGAGTTGCCACCCAGTTGCAGCTCTTTTAGGACACTATTCACGCTCAAAGCAGCGCTAATACTCTTGCAGCAAGCCTCAGTCAAGCCACAATCTCTTAACCTGTAACAGGCAAATAAGTGTCTCTCTTTTGTTCTTTTCTCTGATGCCAAATTATTATTAGCAGCTAGTTTTGTTCCCGCCTATATGGGATAACATGCTGAAGACCCATCAACCCTAGCTCTATTTACCCACACAATTCTCTCCTTCCTTCGGCAGAACTCTCTTTTTCATATCCCGTTGGCCTAGGGCTTCAGTGGTAAAAATTGCAAGTAACAGAAAAGCAAAGATATGCTCAGAAAATTAAGGGAGGTTTTAAAGAGCTTCCTCCTCACAGCAAGGATGTATTTGCTAGGGATGGGTTACCTTACAGATTCTTGGAATCAGAAGCTTGGCAGGAGTGTCATTTAAGCAATCCTTTGAAGCTGCCTTGCCCCTCCATTCTAGGCATATCCTGTTAAGCAGCATTGCTGACTGTAGCAAAAAGAAAACGTGCACTAACCATAGAGATTGGAGTTTTGTTTTTGGATCCTTCAGCCCTTGACATAATAATTCTGCACCTTCATTTTTCACAGGATTTCCCAGCAGGCTCATATCCTTGAGTGTCTCTTTGGTGCCAATGATTGTGGCAAGTTCCTTACAACCAGCAGCGGTGATATTGCATTCCCACAGCCTGAAATAATCACCAAATCATTGCCTTTAGCTTTTTACCAACAGTTAAAATGGGAAACTAATGGTTCTCTCACTTGAAACATTTGTTTACATCTTCATAAATCTGCTCCTTAAACTACACCCCATTCACTTGTAGTAAGTAGTAATACATAAAAAAATATTGAAATAAGCATATGATCCAGAATCAAAATTCTCCCTTGGCCAATGAAAACAGATCAAGACCAAGTCTATTTCTCAACATAATCTGAGTGCCAAAGATTGTGTCTCCACCCCGCCCCCCACCCCCAGCCTTAGTCTTTGATGTGAATGGGACCCTCACTTGATGGCAGCCATCTGATATTACTCCAGAATCAGAGATTATCTTTAACAGAAAAGAACTGGCCATGACTAGGCTAGATGGCCATTTATAGAAACATGGATGAAAACTGGGATTTATGACTCATTTATGGTCAATGTTACATCCCTTTAGAAATATACATTATAGAACACAAAGAATTATTGCAGAAATTGCATGCAGAGTTCTATCCCCCACAGAGAGGAATACCAAAACCACCTGTGTATACAACTTAGATTGTGTACACTTTAAATTTTATGAATTATTCTCAATTGCACTGGGAGAAAAAAAAACATATTGCCAAGACTTATGGTAGCAAACCATAATATTTGAAAAGGTATACTATATTTTTAACATATTAAGAGAATTATATAGGTGTAGTTTTAAATATTAAAAATGCAGTAAATTAATCCCGTTTTCCAATTTGAAATAAAACAGAGAGATTACTAAGCAGATTTCTGTTCTGGATTTGGCTGTAACAACCTAGTTATCCCCGATACATAACAAGCCACTGTAAAAACCTGATTGACTTTTGTTACCAAAGGACATTTCATACAAAATTCTAAGACTGCCAATGCTTAGGGAGCCACTTACCATAGTTTCTCTACTTTGCAATTTGGATTTTGGACACCTTGGCAGAGGATAGCTAGTCCTGTATCACCAATACTATTGTCTCCTATGCATAACTCTGTCAAGGATGGGGTATTACTGAGGAAAGTACTGAGTTCCTTGCAACTAGCACGTGTGATCTCACAGCTCTCTAATCTGCAAAAAAACAAAAAACAATTCCGAAACTGCACTGGATTTCACTAGAAAACAGACAAAAGAATTTTGTTAATTTCAGCAACTCTGCCTACAATAATCACAGGTGTTAGAGATGGGCACCTTGCAGCTGCAGAACACATGGCTTTAAATTTCTAAGGGTGTGCAAAAGAATCATAAGGCCACAAAGAAGGGGGTTTAATCAATGATCAGTGCTATCTACATCCAATTTATGAAACTGGCAAATAGGATTTTAAAACACGAGCCTTTAAAAACATACACATACATGGATACACACAGTAGACAAAAAAATTCTTAAGTACTTTGTTGCAACCAGTCCACACAAAACACAGTCCAGCAAGGTTGCAAGAACAATGGGGTTATTTTAGCAGAACCTATAAATCATCTAACAGGAAAATATATATTTAACCTATTTGGGATTTCTTCCTAATGCACACAGCACATACAAGTTGTAGTTTATAATATAATTGCAAGATAAAGTGCAACAATTTAGCAATAGGGTTTATATGTGAATATACAAGCACAGTTTACATTTGACAATCTGTTTACAATACATGCATGTTCTGATTTGACTTATTGCACTTTTCTAATCTTCAACTTTTAGTGAATTACTTAGAAATATGTGGAATAAAAACTCCTTTTGTTCTGAGTTTGGATAAAACTCTGAAACACTATTTATTTATTTGTAAAATTTATTGGCTGCCCATCTTACCTTAGAGCACGGGTCTTCCATCTTGGCAAGTTTAAGACTTGTGGACTTCAACTCCCAGAATTCCTGAACTAATATGACTGGAGGAGGAATTCTGGGAGTTGAAGTCCACACGTCTCAAAGCTGTCAAGTTTGAAGACCCCTGCCTTAGAGTAACTCTTGTCCGTCCATCTTGCCACAAGGTAATAAATTTGTTTTATTCTGAACTCAGAATAACTGAAATAGCTATTCCAAGCTCAAACTATTTAAAATGTTCAATCTGGTATAATCCATCTTGGGGGGATTACCCTTTAAGGTAGACACCCACTTCTTTAGAAAACTCTCAGCTGTGACATACCCCAAAAGAGAGAACTGCAGACAAATATGAACTGTATCTTACTGTAGGGATTGCAAGTTAGAAGAGCCCTTCACCAAGGCTTGGCAGAGGTTTTTCACTGCATCATCTCCTAGCCTGTTATTACTCAGGTTAAGCATCTGCAGGGACGATTTGACACACAGTACAGAGCAGAGAGCTTCCATGTTTTCCTTTGTGAGGTCACAGAATTGTAGTCTACAAGAGAGAGGACCGAATTAACTTCCAACAGGTAATAGTAAAGACATATATTATAGGTTTGAAGGAAGATGCAGATAATGTACTGTATACATATTATAACCAATGGCAGAGCTTTCCAACCCAATTTTGTTTAGTTTTCTTATTCATTTATTTAATCAACCTCTAGCCAGTCCCCATCATAACATCAACTCTAAGTAGCCAACAAACATAAATAAGATTAAAGCAAGAAAGTAAGTTTATATATCCAGTTTAAAAGTAAAGGTTCCCCTCGCACATACGTGCTAGTCGTTTCTGGCTCTAGGGGGCAGTGCTCATCTCCGTTACAAAGCCGAAGAGCCAGCGCTGTCCGAAGACGTTTGCTTGGTCATGTGGCTGGCATGACTAAATGCCGAAGGCGCATGGAACGCTGTTACCTTCCCACCAAAGTGGTCCCTGTTCTTCTACTTGCATTTTTACATGCTTTCGAACTGCTAGGTTGGCAGAAGCTGGGATAAGTAATGGGAGCTCACTCCGTTATGTGGCGCTAGGGATTCGAATTGCCAACCTTTCTGATCGACAAGCTCAGCATCTTAGCCACTGCGCCCCATATATCCAGTTTACAAACAAGCAAAATGTCAACTCATAAAACATTTCTATGCTCTTTAATTAGGGCCTCTGCCGGAATCCTGACAGAAATAACTATTACAATGTCAAAATCCAAGTCAGGAAAATTAATGAAATCAGTTATACGTAATAAAACAGAGTTCAACAACTGGATTCACAAAGTACCCTGCCAAGGATTTGCTGAAAACTCAGATCATCAAGCCTTTCTGAAAATACAACAGGATTGGGACCAGGCGCATTTGGGGGGAATGTGGTCCCAGAAAGCAGAAATGGCAGAATACACATGTCTCCAATATCCCAACAAGATGGCACTATTTCACTAATGGAAATCTGGAGCATGCAGATTCTGCCAGATCTTATGGATGGGCAGAAACAACCAGAGGAAGGATCCGGGCTCCAAAGCCATGAAGCCTGATAGCCAATATAGAGGAGAGGGTTAACATGGCCAAAACAAGGGATGTCCACAATCTACAGTACTTGTACTGCTGCACTATATTCAACCTGTAGTTTCCGAGTGGTTTGCACAGACTCACTTAAATGTTGCAACTGTCAAAATGAAACTAAGTCATAACAGCTACAAGATGTGTTAAGGCATCTCGATTCAGGAAAGGACACAATGGCACACCAGACAATCTGTACAAAGGCCAGCCAATCATAAATATTTTTTGCTCATCAAGGAAGAATTAAGAGTCCCCTGCCATGATTATAAAAATCTGAATACAGTCATACAACCCCATCAATAAATAAAATTGGAAAATCCTTGAGATTTCCAAGACAGAAAATTTACTATAAGCAGACGAGGTATTAAGCGATAACACTTAGAAACCAGGAGCCACTGAAAAGTCAATGACCTGATATCTAAAATGAGTACAGTTACAAGGATGAATCAATGTAAGATGCCATGTTCCCTGAGACTCATGTATTCTCTAGCTTAGTCTGGGTGAATGATGATGACTTTGGGTCCCTCGTTTGATATAATTTCATGACTGATCTCCTCAATCTTAGTACCTCAACCTCAGTACCTTAACCACTATATCATAACTCTCTCCTAATTTTTGCTGGTTTATCCAATCCTGTGCAGGTAAGTCCATACAAGATGGATGAAAAAGAAACTAACATGAGAAACTTCTAACTAAAACATATTTGCTGTCTTATATGTACTGAAGGACTTCAAATACTTACTGAAGTGATTCTAGTTGGCAGTTTGGATCCACAAGTCCTTGGCACAACGCTTTTCCACCTGATATGCCCAAATGGTTATCTCCCAGGTGTAGCTCTGTCAGAGATGATTTGCTAACTACAGAACGAAGCTTTTCACAGCAAGCTTTAGTTAAGTTGCAGTTTCGTAACCTGGAATAATAAAACTATACAAATTACATGAATGCTCAAGAATAGGAGTAGATTGCAAGTATCATCTCATTGAATGCTGTGGTCATGCTGGCTGGAACATGAAGAGTTAAACAAAAGACATTTTTGAAGGCTACAAATTCCCATTCCTGAGAGTGGCCATGTCAAGAGTGGCGTGAAAGATATTAAGGCAGATTAAACTTCTCCCAATATGACACTTCTTGAGAAATAGCCAAGTTTCTGCACTCCTTAGTCCCACAGCCGAAGACATCACCTCCAAGTCCCATTTATTTCCAGTTAGTCTACGCATTACATCTTTAGAGCCCCTCTGCTCACAGCCCACTCAGTGGGTCAAGGCTCTTGTGGTTCCTAAGGGTCCCCCAGCAGGCATGTAGGTGCCTCGGCTGAGCAGCCTAACCAACCCATTTAGGGAACAAAAGGAGCCCTGGCCCCCATCTTCAGCTCCTTGCAACTCTCCTGAACGTGACTGCACACAGCCAGCTTGAGGGCTTTTCTTGGAAGGAGCTACCCTGGCTGGTCCCCTTCCAAAGTGTGGTTGCCACTTGTCTATGAGTGATCTCTCCCCAGCGCACTCCAGGAACCCCCTCACTCCCCGCTCTGCAGTGCTCCACCATTGCTTCCCATTTTACATTTGGATCAGGGTTCCACTCTAGTGCCCCTCTGTCATCCGTGCCATCCAAAGCTTTTCCCATTCGTCTTCCTGTCTGGATCCAGCTTCAGAGAAAAGGTGCGATAGGCATGGGTACTCCATCCTCCTCCCACCCGCCAAAAAGCAAGTCTCTGGCAGATTCGGGGAAGAAGTTGCAATGGGGATAGGATTGGGGGCGGGGGGGGATTTGGGGCCAACTTGGGAAAACCAGACAAAAGGGGAGGGCAAATCCAGCAGCAGGAGAGCCTCCCTACTGCTGGCAGCTGGAGAGACCACAACAGACTTCCTGGGAGAGCAGCCCACTCACCTCCCTCCCTCAGGCCTCTGGTCTACCTGCACTTTCTCCACTGATCCACCTGACTGGGGGTCAGAGGCATTTCGAGGGGCGGGTTGAAGTGGCTATGGACACCGTAGTGTATATTATCAACAATATTACAGCTATATCACCATAAAGCCAATAACTGCCATGTAAAGGTAGTGCTTCAGATACAGGTAACAAACAGCAGTTTTCTAAATGGTACATTGGTGTGCTGTTCAAACTCTACCTATGTGGTTGCTAAGAGTCAACACTGACTGGGTGACAATAGAACCAATTGAGCACACTATACTAGTTTTCATTTGTCAGCTGAGTCAATGTGTCTGTGACTTCAATAATTACACATTTCACCTGTTTCTGTCAAGTTGCATCTAAACAACAGCCTTCATTCTTTCCAATTAAATACCAATATAATGCTCTTTTTGCTATATGAAATCAATGCTCTTTTAGAAACGTAAGAATTCAAATTTACATATTCTTCTCTTGGTATTATTCAACACAAAAAGAATCTGAGTTCTATAATATATAATAAATTAATGAATAAATATAATAAAAGACTGTTGTGGAAACAAATGAAGTATTCCCAGGAAAAGGAGCATAAAGTGATCATCCTATCAACCCAACTTGAAAAATCCTTTGAATCTAGTTGACTGTAAATCACTTATATTGGCTGTTTTCAGAAAGGTAGTTTAAGCATTTGAAATTATGAAGTTGCTGAATGAAGGGACTCAGAGTCTTCGAAATTTCAGCTCCTGTGGGACCACTGAAGTCATTTGAACAAAAGTCAGGGCCACCTGCATTTACAGCTGCCTTTTGGCCATCCACCAGCCGCCCACACCACCCAGCCCTGCCTGCTGCCACACATCAGTCCTCCACCAGCTGGGGCCTTGTCCACACCACCTTTTGTGTCAATAGCACTGGGAACTCTCTCCCCGTTTGTCCAGGGCCTTCATTTTTTGTGTCAGTCAGGCCTTTCTTTTGTTTCTCCTTTTTGCCCAGTTGCTTTGGCGCAAAAGGTGGTTCTGGCCAGGATGTGAATGGAGAGCCAGGCGGCCCTGGAGGAAAAGAAAGGAGTGCAAAGAAGGCCCTGGCTGGTACAGTAATGACACACAGCGCGATAGGCTTAGTGGTGGCAAGGGAAGGTGGTAGGGAGGTAACCAAACAGACAAGAGATGAGGGGGGAAAGAGGCTATTGGGAGGTTGATGAGGAAGTTGAGGAGGCAGTCCCTTACCTTTCGGACACTCAGGCCTGGGAGGGACCAAGCTGGGAATGGCTTGGATGATTGGGGGAGGGGGGGTCCTTGACTAAGGGCCAGTGGGATTCAGTTAATGGCAGCAATAGGGAGTGCCCAGATTGCTGTCACTAAGTGATAGTCACATCACATTACAGGTAGTCCTAGACGTACAACCACAACTGAGCCCAAAATTTATGCTGTTAAGTGAGACATTTCTTAAATGAGTCTTGCCCCATTTAAAGACCTGTATTGCCACAGTTGTTAAGTGAATCATTGTAGTTGTTAAGTTAGTAACATGGTTGCTAAGTAATCTGGTTTCCCCATTGACTTTGCTTGTTAGAAGGCCGCCAAAGGGAATCACATGACCCCAGGACACTGCAACCGTCATAAATATGAATCAGTTGCCAAGCATCTGAATTTTGATCATGTGACTTTGGGGATGCTGCAAAGGTCATAAGTGTGAAAAATGTCATAAGTCATTTTTTTCAGTTCTGTAATTTTGAAAGGTCACTAAATAAACTGTTGTAAGTTGAGGACCACCTGTAATTTTATGACTGCATCACATAGCATCAGAAATTCTGGATGTAGTTGGCCAATAACAGCCAATGATAAATTATATTGAGAATTTATGCCTGGGAGAAATGCTCGCTACTTGTATAGCTAAGTTTGGAAGAGACTAACATGGAAGGCAATAACTCTAGAAATGTTTCCATTTATGGAAAGTATAATCCAAAGCTACTAAAGCCATTAAGAATTTTAGGAATATTTACCAGAGTTTTTGAAGTTTGCAATTGGGGTTTAACAATCCTTTGCATAGGGCATCTACGCCAGCATCTCCCAGCTCATTGTTGCTTAGATTCAGCTCAGTTAGTTCTTGGTTGGTGGTCAGAAGAACAGAAAGATCTTCACAATGGCTAATTCCCAGACCACAGTCATCCAGTCTAAACATTTAGAGGAAAAATGGAGTTAGACATTAGCTCTAATTTAGTCAGATGAGTTGTCATCTACAGCACACTCCTGGGCTAAGCACACTTTTAAAATGCTTGAATAAAATCTAACAGATGTAGCATAGCATCTATTTCAAATATTTTAAGAACGTCCTGAAGCAACATACTACACTTACATGATCTCTCCACCTCCACCACCACCACTGCAAGTTAATACTAAGTGCTTTCAATACAATTTTCTATTATACTGAACAATTTGTCCAAGAGGATCTATAAGCAAATGTATCTAGAAAATATACGAACTGGAGTGTAATGATCCGGGGCATGGCACAAGGGCAATACAGTCAAATCATAAGTAGGAGTCCCTTTATTAGCTCCAACTTTGCCCCCAATGTCCTGGTTACCTTCTGGTCTGGAGAAAAACTGCTCCAGGAACAGCCTTTGGCTGCAGAGGCTAAAGTCCAAAATGTTGTCAACAAAAACTTTAACTATAAGTCCAATCAAGGCAAGATGAGGTAATTAATCTGGCAAGGCAAGAGTAGGAATTCCAGATGTGAAGAAATGGCAGTAAATCAACCCAGTTGGGAGGATGCCAAGAACGCAGGTAACCAAAGTCAACACAAGATAAACTCATGTTTGTTCCCAGAAAACGCCACTCTCAGCTTGCATCTCTTTTAAACTCTCTTCCCAGGTGTGCCTAACGAAGGGAATCAGGGCCCTTTCCTCCCCCATAAACCATACAGCCATGTTGCTCTCTTCTCTATTCTTGCGCACCCCGGATGAAGAGGGGGTGGGCCTGAGTCTTCCCCTGAACTCCTTCCTTGTTCTACCTTTTCCCTGCTCTGCCCAGCCTGACTTTGCCCTTCCCCAGTTTCCTCCACAGCCAACGGAGCCACACTCCCACTCCCTGTCAGCTGTTCACCTTCCTCCTCAGATTCGGACTCTGACAGGGGCAAGACATGGAGTGAGAAAGAGAAACCGTTATATGCAATGTTTTTCAATGCTACTGGCTAGGGAATTCTGGGAATTTTTGAAGTCCACACATTTAAAACTTCCAAGAATGAGAAACATTAGGTATATGGGAAAGCAAAACATTGGAGGGGGAAAAATGATGGGGAAAATACCATTCTTCATGTGAGTGACATTTCAGAAGAATTTTTGTGCTCATCCATTATTAATTTTCCCCAATTCAAATCATGACGAGAAATATTAGAATTGTGAAACAATGCTTTCAAAAAACCCTTTCAATTCACTAAAAATTGTTAACTTACCTAATTGTTTTGTGCTGGTTCATGGATGCAACAAGTTCTTTCCATTTTAATGTATTAAATTCTTGGCATTGCAAATCGAGGTCCATTTCTGAAGTTTTAACTACAGAGATGAGAAAAGAACATCCTTGGGTTAAAAGAATAGTCCACTTGAATGCATGACTGGATGCAAACTAGTGTGTTTTTGGTCTTTTGCAATTACAGCCTTCCTAGTCACTTCAAGGCTGAATTTCTTCATAGGCCTTGCTCAAGAGCTAAATACCTGTCTGAAGTCATTTGGAACTTTAAAAAGACTCCTTGGAACAGGAACTGCTGCAATAATTTTGCAGCACACACAAATTATGAAATGTTACACTCAAGAGGCAGCATAGTTTACCAGAAAAAAGGAGCTACAATCCAGGGGCAGAGCATGTGCATTGCTTACCAAAGGTCATGGTATAATCGTGGTACTTTTAAGTAGAGCTCAAGAATATTCTCGTGAAAAGCCTGGAAAATTGTTGAGTCAGATCTGAGAAAAGCTGCTACCTTTTCGCTGATTTCTGTGATTTGTCAGGGGTTTGGGGGATAATTAAGGGGCAATATTTCACCACAAGCCTCAATACTGCTAAAAATACCCATATTCCCCTTATTTTGGTGATTTCTTGTCTGGTTAGTCATCTTCCTTAGTAGATCCAAGACATTTTCCCACCTCTAGACTAGCAGGACCTAATTAGCTTCTCATATTCCAATGCTGGATTTTGGTTCTAAACCAACACAGTAGCTAGGCCTCTAATATTATTTACAACCTCCCCAAAAGTTACAATTGCAATCAAGTAAACTTCCATTTCTGCAGGAACACAAGCATGAATTACTTACTATAAGTCCTGTGAATTCTAGACACTCACTTGGTATGTAATGTTTTTGCTTACTACATTGAAGTGATTTACAGAGGTCATTCCGATTATTCCCATTGGATAACATTGCTTAGAATGGCATAGATTGAATAACAGTGTTGGAAGCTCTTGAGGTCTTGTAGTCCAACCCCCAAAACCCTACGCAATCGATCAGTTCTAGTATACCTGGCCTAAATATCCATCCTAACTAGCAATCCATTCAACAAATAATCTTACCACATAGAAGTGATATACTAATAGTGAATTCACCATAATTATAACTGCTGAAGGGACGAGGAGCTTTATGCAGTGTGCAAAATTAGTCTGTTCATTCTGAATACATAGAAAGGCTGTCAACCTTCAATTTCTAAGCTTTAAATTCTTAGGGCAACAAAAAGCTATTTCTGGATTTTTTCCCCAGCTGTCAAAATGTGATACATGAAACCTCATGGCCTTCAGGCGGACAGGTCTGTACAGAGGAAACTTTTATTCTCTCTGTTTTGTGTGTATTGGGGGCTTAGAACAGGATTTCTGCATAGTATGGTTTCAGTGCTACTCACTCCCACTTTTCCTGAAAGATAAGCTGTGCTTGGTCCTAATTCCTATGTACCAGTAATTCCTGTTCTTGGGGTTTTCCCCCCATGGAGTTGCATCTACTGACTAAGCATTCGTGCTCAGTATCTCCATCTTTTCTGGACTGCTAAAGCAAATGGAAGCCATGGAGCTTTTAAGCCAATCTTGTAATTTCACCAGTAGCTATAGAAAAAAATAAGTCTCTAAGACTTCTGTGAAAAGGACTCTCCCCATCACTATCTTAAAGCTTAAACAAGGTGGCTGAAAATTGCTCCATACTGCCAGCTTAAAGCCAAAAATATGTATTAGATAAGATCGTCTGTTATTGCTCTGTATGTAATCACTGAGATTTAGCAATGAACAACTCAATTGTGCAACTCAAATCCTTTTTTCCTTTTATTTTTTTAATTCCAAATACTATATAGTTGCTTTGCCAATCACTTTCAGATATGCAAGCCATTATCCCATCTTGAGGGAAGAGAGCATGATTCAAAAATTGCCTTTCGTTATGGGCAAATAAATATTTCATAATATCAAGTAATTCTTGGGAAAATGTATTCTATTTGGGACTCTCTCTGCAGGAAGCAGCCAGACTGATTTTGCTTAGACGTTGAAAATAAGCAGGGTTAGGCCTGGCTAGTTTAAAAAAAAAAATTATAAACAACTCAAGGCAGTGAACATACCTGATTTTCTTTTCTATTTTTCCCACAACAACCACCTGGCAAGTGAATTGACTGAGAGAGATTGGCCCAAAGTTACTCAGCCAGCTTTCTTACCTAAGGCCGGATTAAAAATCACATCTCCTGGTTTCCAGCCTGGTGCCTTAACAACTATACCAAATTGGGATTCCTCCAATTGGGTAATTTAAAAAGATATTCCCAAAGAAAGCAGTCTCAATCTACCTCCACACTGCTTCTAATAAAAGTATGAGGCATAATATCCATTAAGTCCCTGAAGTTCAGTTCAGTAAAAAGGAGACTTACTACCATCACTCTCTATGGCTGCTCAATGTTTAGTCCAAGTAAGCCTTTATCAATGCTGCTGTAACCATAGTTAAGACAATATCCCTTCCAATTGTGTTTTTCTCTGTAATATTCCTGCTGATAATATCAAATCATAACATTTGTTATCCTACAGCTTTTTCAACTCAATGCCATTTAGGTATGCTTACACTGCCTGGAAATTTTTAGCTTGACACATCTATAATTCTGTGGCAGGTTCAGAGAGACTAAATTCTACTCTTTGCCTCATTCTAGTTTCCTTTTGGTTCTTTTGTTATCAGTAGGAAACTGGCATCCAATAAAGCACAGTGCCAGCCTTTAGCCTCATATTTATTTATAAGAATGCTGCTAAACCTTCATAATTCTCACAGGTGTTTTTAGAAAATAAAAATAAAATTAAAATGAAATTTAAATGAAATTACTGAATTTTTTTTATTCAAGAAAGCACCACACCAAACCTAGTGCCCTATAGTTGAATTGGACCATAACTTTCTTATATCTCATTCATTAGTCCTGTTGACCATATGACCAAAGTATTATACAAAATGTAGTGCCAAAACTTCAGTGTGTGTTACCACATGCTCAGAAAAAATCAGATGACCATTAGAGGGCAAAGAGTTAAGATTTTCTATACAATTATTAATCTAATTTACATTCACCTCCATCAGAAAAGACTTAATGGCTTACAGAGATAACCAAACACAATAATTATACACAGCAACATCTTACAAATACAAGTAAATCCCCAAATTATAAATTAGGGGAAAAAACAGGAGGGAGATTAAATGTGGGGGGTCTTTATTTGTAACCTTAAAAAAGGGAACTTTTTAGCAGAGGACACTCTTCCTCGGGCAACCTCTTCAAACCTAAGGATGTCATGGCTGCCAGTCACTGGATTTGGGCAGACCACAATGGGTCGGGAAGGTAAAAGTGAATTAAATTAAATTCATCTGGCAGCAAAGGTTGCTGGGCTGCAACTGCCTTAACAGGCAGAGGAATCAAAACGGCGTCTCTAACCTGGAATGGCGCCGGGGCTCCTAAAATGAGGAACTTTTAAATAGAACAGATCAAAACGACGAGGCACCGCTTGCGGTCTCTCTTCTCAACTAAAAGTACTGTCTTCAAATTATTATTCAGGGTGGAAGCTCTGAGTCACCGGGAAATGATTCGCTTTCCTCGGGGCTCCGTTTTGTCAAGTCATCTTTTTTGAAGGGAGCAAGAGAGTTGTTGCTTCACTGCAAAACGAGGCGAGTTTTTTTTTCCCCTCCAACGGAACGAAAAGGGCGTGAGCCCAATCACCGATGGCGACGAATGCCAACGAGGGCAGCTTTCGATTGGGGGAGGGAGGGGGAAGCTTCAAATTACCCCAAGTAGTAATTTGGGACCAGGAACGAAAACCAGAAAGTGTCGCGATTTTCTTCCTACGTTGCCAACGTCCGAAGAGTTGCCTTTCACCCCACCCCACCCCACTTTGCTTCTGTCCCCCCCAACCCAAATGGCCTATTTCGCGGGAGTACGTAACCCAACTAACACGAACACCGTTGCCAACCCCACCCATCACACCTGGTTAAGCAGTAGGAACACCCAAGACGCGTCTCTTACCGGGCTGCCGGAGAACGAAAAACAACTAACAGGTCTCTCGCCTTCAGGCCCACCCTCCTACGGTAAAATATCTTCTCTACTTCGGCCACGCCCACTTCTCTCGCATCCAATTGAAAGAGAGAGAAACCGACGTTCATTATTACTCCGCCCCGCCTCCCCACAACCAAGGCGTTTCCCCGTTGCGTTCAGGCTTTAATCACAATCCCGATGAGGCCATAGCGGATTTTCCATATATTTTCCATAGGTTGTTCCTAAGGGAACGTTCAACGACGCCCTTTTCGCAGCAGTGGCGGAGGATAATGTTGCTTTGTTCGAGATTCGTGCAAGCGTTTTATTTCCTCGGGGTAAAAGCCCTTTTGCGAAGTTTCAAAACGGCCCTTTCTCAGCGAGCCCCTCTCACTATCTATTTTGTGGAGAGTAAAAAGCAGACTACAATAAAGGCATAACTAAAATTCAGTTGTAAAATAGGCGTGCAAAAACAAGTACAAAAAGATATAAAAATTAAGGAAGGGCTAATCATAAAGTCTAATGTCAAAAGTCCAATATCTTCAGACATTGTTCCGCAATTTAATAAATCTGAACAAAGGTTCTTCTCAGTACTACTACATGGACATTAACATTACTAGTTCCATGTACTTGCTGCTCTGATAAACTCTTAAGAGCAATTTATTACTTTGAGCCATTACAGTAATGTAAGACTAAATGCCATCTCCTTCTGGTAACTTCAGTGATTATTCATCCCTGTCTTCCTTATCAAATTCCATCTACTTGAAAACTGTCAGATTTAACCTTTTCTGCCAGTTTTTTTCAAGCACTGCCAATAAGTTTTTCCCCAGTGTGTTTTCCAGATGTGAAGGACACAAAATGGATTATCCAAATTATAATCCCATACTACTGGACAGCACATGGTATGGGGAGGGTGTGTGTTCAAGTAGTCCTCAACTTACCACCAGAACTGGTGCGCCAGAATTTCTGGTGCTAAGATGATTAAGTCATTAAGCAAGTGACTGTCTTCTTTTTTAGCCATGGTTAAGCGAATCACTGCAGTGATTAGGTGAGTCGTACTCCCCCCCTTGACTGTCAAAAGTTGGTTGAGAAAGTCATAAATGGAGATCACATGATCCCAGGATACTGCAATTGTTATATATGCTGGCTGCCAAGCACCCAAATTTTGAATGTGTGACCATGGGGATGCTCTGGTAGTTGGTGGTTAAGTCATTTTTACAGTGCTGTTGTAACTGTGAACAGTCACGAAACAAAGGCTGTAAGTCAGGTCTACCTCTATTCAGTTTCTGAAATATGTAATTTTTTTTTTTAGAAATTCCCAGTTGTTGAACAGGTTTGTGACCAACAATTGATCCTATCTTCTATCTTAATTTTGTTCCTGGAGCCTGCATGTTGTTCCTCTACTTCCAGTAACCTGAGTACATTTAAGAACTATCATTGAGCTCTAGCATATGCACTGGAAATGACAGTGCATGAAATTCTACACCTTCCAATTCTGGTAACCAGTATCTTTGTGTCTTAACTTCATGATGGTTGGGACTGTGCATTGCACAAGTTATGAGTTCAAACAAGCAAAACCAAAGCTCAACTCACTATTGGGGAAATAGTGGTCCTACAAACTCTTAGGAAACCTAAACCAGCTGGTCTAGGAGGGTAATAAGTAGAAGCTACTTGACTATAACCAGGAAGAAACTGGAATTTCGCATTCATGTAGTGGAAAGAATTATGAAGGATTAACATGGAGGATGCTGAAAGGGGAAAATTTAGGGGTGTCAAACTGGCGCCCACAGGCCAGATGTGTCATCCATAGGCCATGCCTACCCCAGTTCCACAAAGGGAAAAAATGTCATCATGTGACAGCAACATTAGGCGAGTTTGACACCCGTGGTATAGCCTACATGTATTAGTACAAAACCTGCTCTTCTATTCATATTTGAAATGTTCCACAGAAATAGGGCGTAATCAGAATGCTAATAAACTTAAATCAGGTAGTCCTCAACTTATGAGCACAATTGAGCCCAAAATTTATGTTGTTAAGTGAGACATGCTAAGTTTTACAATATTTTTTGCCATAGTTAAGTAAACCACAGCAGTTGATAAGTTAGTAACCCAGTTAAGTGAAATCTGGCTTCCTGATTGACTTTGCTTGTCAGATTACAAAGGTGATCATATGACCTTGGGACATAGCAACAGTCATAAATACGAACCAGTTGTCAAACATCTGAATTTTGATCACATGATCATGGGGATGCTGCAAAGGTAGTAGCTGTGAAAAACTGTCACTTTTTTCAGTGCTGTTGTAACTTTGAACGGTCAATAAATGAAATGTTGTAAGCTGAAGACTACTTATATATACCAGTAGTAATGAAACCAAGAAGAGGTTCTTCTTAACTGTACTCAGGGTAGAGTTAGAATACTGCAGTTACTTGGAAAGTAATCTCCTAAGAGTTCAATGGATTTTCTCCCAGGTGAATAATCAAATATTGCAACTTAAATGTGTTTCTTCAAACTAAAATCCATTTAATATACTGTATAGCCTTATTATGGATTTAGGCAGGGCAATCCATATCTAGGACATTTTGGAAGTCATGGTGAATACCTCAATCTCTGTTGGTTATGCTGGAAATTCAATCTGGAAAACACACCATGCTGTAGAAATTTGAAGTAGACTCAGGTACCTCAAATGATCTCCAAGAATTACTTCCAAGAATTAAAGAAGTTGGGAATAAACAATATCCAATATTTTTCCCCCTCAGCTATGGGGACAACTGATTTTTGCAAACCACCCTGGATATTTCGTTGAAGAACAGTATACAAAAATCGGAGGCAGGAAAAGAGAAGGGAGAATTCTGTTTTGCTTCGATTTTGCTCTAAAGCGATACGGTAGTTAAGCCACAAAGCGGCCTATTTGCTTGCTCAGCGACTCCTCAGTCGCATTCGAGGCCAAGCAAGGCCTGGTCGTGCGATGGCTCCGTGGAACGTGGGCGCTCGCCCATGCCTTCTAGCTGGAGACTAACCGCGCCCTCTCTTGTTCGCCTGGCAGGGCCGAGAGAACGTCTCTCCCACTTACATCCCTCGGGAAAACCCCAGGCACGAAGGCCGCGCCCGGGAGCAAGGGGAAACGCCCGGGCTCCACGCGGTAGAACGAAGCAACTCCGGAGCTTCCCCCAAAGAGCGATCATTATTCCCTTCAAGCAGCCTCGATTTCTTCTTCTTCTTCTCCCTGCCCCCTTTCAATACCCCCTTTTCTTTGCAGAAGGCCGGCTCGGTCAGTTCACCGCAGCCCATTTTCCGCAGTCGATTAATCGTCGCGTCTCCAAACAGACCGCATTTTCCCGGGAGCCCGATTCGCCAGGCCACACTCACCGCCCACGGATTTCGTGGAAAAGGAAGCTGGCGATAAACGTCAGACGACTACTTCCTACTGTCTGGTTTCCGTGCAACCGGCGGTGTTTGGTCTTAAATACGCTTCGGTGCTGTCAAGTTGCGAAAGAAAACCTCACTAAACTTGGAACGAGTCGGGGCCTGCTAATTTAAGGAGTATTTATTGAAAAGGCTCTGACGAAATTTGGGGACCATGTACTCTTTTTTTTTTAATGCATTGAGCTTCCCGAACTTGAATACAGAATTTAATCGAGACACAAATGCGTGTTGGCAATTGCATTGGAAAGGGAGAGACCAAGGGAACTAGAAAGATGACGGCGCTAAAGCTGCTTAATGCATTAAATCTGATACGGAATGCTGTCTGTATAGACCCTAATTCTGAAGCGGCTTTCCTCCCTTCACCTCCGCGAATGCCACTCAAACGCTCCTAAGCAGGACAGAACAGATGTTAAAAATGGGGGGGGAGGCATCTGCCATGGAGACAGATGAGCTAGGGGATCCCATTCTACCCACTGCCCCCTCCCCGCTTCAATAACAAGTCTGATTGGTTTTAAAGCAATGGTACAAGATGCGCTATTAAGACCATGCCGAAAATTATCCAGAGACCTTTGGCTTGTTTGCATCTGTTGTTCCGCTTACCAGGCCCAACTCAGACTGCTAGCTAAAAGACCACATTCACAATTTCAGGAAGCCAGAAAATCTTGTGGTATTGGCATGTTAAAGGTACACGTGCATGTTAGAGTGGTTTATAATGTAACAAATATTGTTAAACAGAAGTAACATCAATTAAATCAATTGACGTATGAAATATTTCAATAACAGCTCACCTGATTTGTCTGTGTTCATAAAGATCAAATTGCTTGATTGAACAATGAATATAACCAATGCATTCACCAATTAAAAATGGCATATGTTTCACTGTAAAGAATATTTACCTATAAAACAGTTACAGTTAGCTATATTTATTTTGTAATTATCAGTGTTCCATCCTGTGTCTTAAGACTGTAGAGAGTAACCAAAACATTTTTCTTTAAATGTCTATATAATGTATGTTTATCACTAATAAATTATTTAAGTGACATATGTACTCCTGAGATTTATATTAAATTTGTACACAGAGGAAAGAGTTCTGAATGGATTTGGCAAAGCATTCTTGCTTTAATTTTATAACATACTGCAAGAAGCCTCACTAAAATATTATAGAAAATGGAGGAAATATAAATGATCAAGAAAGGAAACAAAAATCACTTTATAGGCTTCGTATAAAAGAAAATAATTGCTTTGTAGAAAGAACAGTTATAACATTTAACAAGGGGAGACTTAAGAGACTACAAAGGCAACAGTGGTAAGGTAGCATTATTTATTAAATCTGATATACTGCTACTGGCTGTTAATTCTGAAATAAACTTCCATCATCTCATTACTGTAAATCATTCTCTTTTTCATTTCAGGATTATTACATATTCATACTAACATATCTGTATCTATCTCTGCATACTGCTAGGGAATTCGGTGAGTTGAAAGCCACACATCTTGAAAGTTGCTAAGATTGAGAATACTACAATAGATATAACAAAGACTACATGGAAATGTTTTCTAATTGGGAGAAAAATGGAAGTTAAACACACAGTTTACTTCATGCCTGCTATATAAACTGGTCCATATTAGAACATAATACTGTAGCTGCAACTTGTTAAGTATGGTTTTAAACTTGCCAGTGGCATGTTTAAAGTGGCACTTTAAAATTCAGCTAATGCCATGCTTTATTCACAGTGAAAGAGAAACACATATTCTTTTCATTAGATAATGTCTGATTTCTAGAACAGCAAAGATAATCTCAGTTCAGTGAGCAGTAATCCATTCTAGCATATCCAAATTACCTTGAATTATGATTAGTACATTGCAAAATGCTATTGCAGAACCAGGGAGTGTGTTTTGAATATTTATGGATGCATTAAACACTTAATGCAGAGAGGGCGGTCTCTTGACTTGTGGTTACACTTTGGGCTCAAAGTACAAACTGCTGAGGAAATCTTGTCAGAATGTTTCTCCTATTCAACAAAATATTTACATAAGATAACATCGAAAACCAACTTAATTTCATAACAAATTGGAATTTTTTGTTCTAGGGCTCTTCAATCTTTTCGAAAATAGATAAAATAAAAGGTTGCATTCTACCGGTACTAAAAATGTAAGCAAGTCAGAGGTTTCTGGCATTTAAGGTGGAGATTTCAAAAACTCACTCCAAATAAAACTTAGTATGGCTTTTGTTATTTTGCTCAAAAATGTGATTTACCATTAATCCCTGGTTAAAGATCTTTACTGAATATCATGAGATATTCATGATTTGGATTACCAGGGATTACCTGGTTACCTTGGATTACCAGGGTTAATTCAATAAAATGGAGGGTTGTATTAATAATTAACTTTTAGGGGTCCCAGACAGCTTTTCTTGGTAGGATTAGGTAATGGCATAGGTATATTGTGCAGGATTCATGACTTGATGATGTCTTTATCACATAGGTATTTATTGTTACCAGGGGTGGGATTCAACCTTTTTAACAACTGGTTCTGTCGGCGTGGCTTAGTTGGTGGACATGGCTTGGTGGTCATGTTATTGGCTGGGTGTGGCCAACTCAATATCACTCACATCGAGGCATGCATCTCCTCGCCTGGCCTCTCATGACTGAGGGGATGCTGCAACAGTTGTAAGTGTGAAAAATTGTCATAAGTCAGTTTTTTCAGTGCCATTGTAACTTTGAATGGTCACTCCACACAAGCAAAGTACCAGCAAAGGAGGGGAAAAAACTCCAGAGACGTTCCTGAGACAGGAAGTCTAGTCCTGCCAAGAATGTAATAAGGTTAATGGAGAGGCAGTTTCTGTAAGCAACACCAGAATGTTTCCTTCCTGCCTGCCTTACAGGATTAGGCCAGTAATTTCTTCTAACAACTAATTCTCCAAACTGCTTAGAATGTTAACAACTGATTCTAGCGAATAGGTGCGAACTGGTAGAATCCCTCCCCTGATTGTTACAACGATGGCAATGCTAATGTTCAACTATTACAAAGTCTGCACTACTATTACTGTTAATCTTGTCATCACTCCCTATCACCCATCCCCTCCCACTTGTGTTTGTATGACTGTAACTTTGTCGCTTGTATACTTACGATTTATATTGACTGTTTCCTAATATGATTGATTGCTTATTGTACACTATGACTATCATTAAGTGTTGTACCTTATGATTCTCGACTCCTGACGAATGTATCTTTGCTTTTATGTATACTGAGAGTATTTACACCAAGACAATTTCCTTGTGTGTCCAATCACACTTGGCCAATAAAGTATTCTATTCTAATTAAAACTACTGGTAAAATCCCCCTATAAGTGAATATACACAGACACACTATTTCAAATCTCATTTAGTACTCACAACTGTCTGTATAAAAGATTACTCTTCTGACCATTATTATTAAAGGAAAGTTTGAATATAAGATATAGTGGCATAACTGGGACAGAGACATGTAGGATTTTTAAAAAATCCATATTAATATTTAAATATCTGTATTAAAACAAATATTTTAAAGTTATCTAGTTAATCAGGAACATCTTTAAATTGATTGCAACTACTAGGAGCCTTGAAAAGACTAACAGGTCTGTGATTTTGAAATTCTGAAAGGTTTTAGAATTACTGTGAATGTCAAAAACCAAGGTGATTTTGAGGGGCCTTTTCCCCAGATAGTGGTGTAGGCACTTGCCTATGGCAGCATGGCTACACCAGAAGTGTATCAGTCAGCCTCTCATTGCATCACCAACAAAGCAGCTTCGTACCTTGGTCTGAAGGCAAAAAAAAAAAAAGAAGAGAGAGAGAACAGAAAATGTAGTGGGACTTTAAGAGAAGGAATACATACTATTTTCCTTTATTTGACTTAATATTTTTATTTTATCTGGAGTATTGTTTTTTTTTCCTACAGAGATACAAACAATAGATCATAATAAAAATATGAATTACCATAACTATGCATATTCTTTGAGAATATAGGCATTTGGCCAAGGAATTTCTGGAATTATACCAAGTGTGTATTTTTAATGTACACACTCTCTATTCACCTGCATTGTTACAAGCCTGATGGATAATGGCAATATTGAAAAACAAAGAAGGTGTATTATGTCTATGACTCTGTGAGGTTGGGCTCTGGTCTACAGTTTATAGGAAGATACTTTGAGATTTGATTCCATAGGGCTAAGATGGGTCAGAGAAACTGCTGAGCTAAACACTTTCGAATCACACATTTTTTGTGAGCTAGCCAAAATAAAAACAGAGTGGGAAGCAGGAACATATTTTATTAGGTGTAGGGCTCAGGATGTTATTATACTAGGGTTTATTAAACTTGCTGGCCTACTAGGAAAACAATATGCAGAAGGAAGTTCAGGACTACGAACTGGTTAGAAGTTTATTAATGTGACAGGTCTAGTATGTGTCACTAGAAAGCTCATCATTGTAACTGTGCCAGAGAAAGATTCATCCTCATTTTGACAAGTCTTCTTTTTCTCTATTTTTTTCCTCTGTTCACTCTCCATTCCTACTCTACAGCAATATAACCAAAGTCCGAGTGTGAACATATTCTGGAATTCTCAAAACATAAAACAATATAATGGAAATTGATAATGTACAACCATACAGACAAGAAAATCCACTTCTTTTGCATAGACTTCCATGCTATTTGCTGAACAATCAATTAAAAGGTTTTCCTGGAATGGGAAATATGTACACCAAAGCAGGAAGAAATAGAAAAAGACTATTTTTTTTAG